TGCAGTCGATTTACTACTAGCTATAAAGTGTGTGAAAGTTGCCAAAACATTCCTGTGAAAAAGCACTATAGAATTCCGGGAGGTGTCTTATTTTGCTTAGAATTCTTTGCTCTATCAGGCTATATAGGTTGCAACATTTTTGTGGCCAAAAGCTAAGGACTTGGTTTTCTAGCGGTCAGGTTTTCCAGAAGCTCTATTATCAACTTATCTCATGAAAAGGCGATATGCACCTCATCTGGTAGAAAAATCTTCGCGCTGTTGAAAATAGTATTCAGTTTGGTTCCAGCTTTTACTAAAAAGTCAAAAACAAGAGAATTCTTGTGATTATGACACACTGTACTGCTTACATAACACCCAAAAATTTCTTTTCCATATTTTTAATGACTGGTCCCACCTGTCTGGATATTGTGACCAGCTCACTTTGTACAGAATTTCAAGGGCTATCCAATGGTATGTTTTCACACAATACATACTTTTCATTATGGCAGAAAAAAGACTAACGCAGTGTTTAAAACACTAAGATAGGTGAAAATCATTATATCGACCAAGTATTTCAACTACTGACCAATGTGGACATATTTTTGAAAGACTTATTTATAGCTCATTTTGTAGGCCGTGAAATTCTCTACCGAGCGATATATAAAGTGGAGTAAATCACCAGAAAATCAATGGATACTATAAACACAGACACATAGAAAATCTTACGGATGTCTTCAATCGATTGTTTCTAAGAAGCGATCCTGTCATAAATTATGCTGTACAACACTCTTGGGCAACAAGAAAAAGAAAAGACAAAGACAAAACAGTCTTGACTTGCAACAATGAAGACGATAGCCTCTTTCACAGTATGCTTGTAGATAGTTAATTATTTCAAATTTTTATTTCTTTTAGTTTTTTTATATGAATTTGTGGGTTGTGGGTATTCAATTGTGTGATGATGTGCTTTTTCTAGTCAGCGCTCTTGTTCGCATGTGCTAAAACATAGAAAAAAATTTAATATGTATTCCACAAAAAGTGGTTTCCAGAGAACTGGACTTCTAGAAAACCTCCTGAAAGATTCTGAAAAACCTTTCTGTTTCTAGATTCGAAATCAGCGTAACTCAAAAGCCTATAAGAAATGATTTTCGAAGCAAAACTAGATATTTTTACGGCCATTTTGTCTCTGGAAAACCAAGGATTTCTAGAAAACCAATTTTCAAGCACTTTTGAGTTCTGGCAACCGCTTCATAAGAAAGAGCACATGTGAAAACCCATAGAAAAAGTATTCTTTAGTGTATTGGAGTCTATTAAAACCAAATGTCCACGTGCCTATCAAAAATTGCCCACTGTGCGCTCTTTCTTCTGTTGTGGTGGTTGAGAATTAACGATATATAGACTCTAATAGACTCGGAGGTAAAAAGGTTATATCACGATATATCCAAGACAGAAGATACTCTAGATATATTCAATTATATAGCATATATAAGGATATATCACATTTTGTTTGAAAAAAATGATGTATCATAATGTATCCTTTTCTTACGATGAACCCGAAAAAAGATATATCCTGATATATCATTGATTTTGAATAACACGCAGCGATATGTCATGATGTAGCATACATTGTATCCTAAAATAAAAAAATATCCTTTTCAACAGTGAACTGCCGCTAGATCAAGGAAAAGTGGTGCTGGAAGAACCTCGAGTGGTCCATAGATCCCATAGAGGATAATGCTAGATTCGCTGAGAAATAGAAAGGTCCGCTGGTGACGGACATTGAACACACTACAATCCGCTAGATCAATGAAAAGTGATGCTGGAAAAACATAGGGTTGATCATAGATCCCATAGCCGATAGTCAATGATCCGCTTGGAAATGGTATCCGCTTCGGAACCCTCCGATGATGAAAAACATGTCAAGTCCTTCACATTTGCATGGGACTTTAAGTAAAGCGGACAATTTTCGGATCGTTGCCAGCCCTCTTTATTTCGAGGCAATCTGTTACTTGCATCAACATTTCAGCATTCTCGGATTGCGAGTGTGCATTGATGGACTGAAAATCACACGAGTTTTTTCTGAACACACTGGAATTTGTAACAGCGTATCGAAATGAAATATGGAATTCATGGTAAAATCATGAAAAGAAAAGTCAGTAACTGCCGCAATCAATGATGAATTAGGAATTAAATTAAGAGAAATGGAATTTTCATGAGAACACTTTCATTATCCAGAATAATTGAAAGAAACTCTAGACGTGACTGAACAGGAAACGCAATCATTGACTGATTGACTATTTGAATCGAATTTTCTATTGTTGTAGTAATTTATTGTTGTTTTGTTTGTTATACAAATTACAGCAAGCAATAAGCAAAAAAGAATGACTATTGTATGTTTTTCTTTTTTAAAATTCCCAATGTACGATAACATGACCGACATCTTCAATTTTTTCGAGAGCTTGTTTGAGCCTACCAAAAATTTCTTGAGTTCGTTGTTGAACCATATCGTTAGGCAATGTAATCATTTGCATAACGATAACTGTGTCATCACCACCATGACATATAATGGTTTCACCCAGATGGACACTTTCTGTACTCCCCTTAATTTCTTCTAAAACGTTTGCAGCTATTGTTTGTATCTTACGTTGAGTATCAGAATTTTCAACAATACGATGACAAGCACGTTGTACATGTTCTAAATTCACATGAAAAAATTATTGTCATTTAATAAGCAGTCAGTCGCATTCAGTTTCTTTTAGCGTACTCCGAATTTGTGGTAGCCAAATTGATATACCGTAGATAGCAAGACATATGGCACCGATATCATCCGTTATAATCAATTTTTCTGTCCATTTACCACGAGTACCAACTGAACCTGAACAGTATTCAAAAGAAACATTTATTCAATCCGTTGCTCAGTATTTTATCCAGAGAGATGCTTGGGGGAGGGCGGAGATCGGGTAAGTTATTTTCTTGACATCTAATCTACGTATCTTGGATTTATGATAGAATCTGAGCGGAGATGATCCACTGATCACCTCTTAGTGAGCAATTTTCCAATAGCTCTGAAATTATATTTGACCCAATAATTTATTTTACGGTTCTATAATCAAAGCTTTTTTACATCTGATTCAATTCAAACACTTGACTAACAATCGATTTGCACCCTGACAACACTGAAAAACTTGATCGTAACATATGATTTTGTACGTTATTTTCAAAGGACGGGGACGGATTTGCTAGCCAAATTGATCCTAATAAAAAAATTTGATTCGAAACCTTATATATAAGATGAAAGAGTTCAGCGAGTTGAGCATTTCGGTATTTTAAATGCGACCATGAAGAGTTCTGGTCGAGCCTACTTGTAAATTTTGGGTCATTTTCGACGTTAGCTTGACTAGAATTCTTCATAAACCCCCGACTTCTGAAAAATTAACTCCTATAATAAAACAATGGTTCAAATTTTCATATCTACTCACCAATATAACCAAAAAGTAAAGCAACCAGATTCATTCCTATATCAACCAGGTGATCTTTCTTCAATGCTTTTGATTGTGAATTTGAATTGATTATGCACAAAACAAGAAGAATCAATTTAATAACTAACAAATCGATCGACATACTTCACAATATTCATATAATACAGTATTTTACTTACGAATCAATGCTCCGACAATCCCAGCACTTGCTAGAGTGATATTTGCTTTTTCGGGTTCCGCTCCATAGGAATAGAAATATTGAATTTTTTGAAATAATCGAAGTATTGCTTGATATATAACTCCGCCTAGCATGAATGTCATGAAAAGAGCCATCAGAAAAAGAGCCAATGTCTCAATATTTGCTCGACCTGAAACAAGATTGTGTTTTTTCTAAATATTCTGAAATACATGTCAAAACCTAACGGGTGATTCGACTCACCGGAAAGGGCTAGAAACAGCTTTTTGTGCCGTTTCTGAATATGTGCTTAGAAATTTTGTGCCTGCTTTTATTCGAGAGTAGTGATGGAATCTTTACAAGGCTTAAAAAATTAGTTTGGACGATTTTGCTAACCCCTATACGTCCCTTTGCAAAGATGCTAAAAATTGTCCAATTCAGTAGCTTTTTAGAGCAAACAATTCTTTACAAAATGTGACCTTGAACTAAGCTGTAGCTTTTATTCAAGTGATGCTGTAGACATTTTGCCAGGAGCTTATTTCTATGTAAAACGGTTTTGATGAAAAAGTCGATTTTTCAAAAATGAGGGTGTAAGAAAAGCGAAAATTGAGATGCCTTGCTGGTAGACAAAAACTAACTCAAATAGTAAATTTTGTAGGACAGATTTTGCTTGACAAGCTGATATCAATCTCACCCGTTATATGCATATACCTAATGGATACTTTCTTTTGCTTCGTCCAGCTATAAAAGATGCCCCCAAAAGTAAACCAAGACTAATCGAATCGACGGCACTATCGCCCACCAAAGAGCGAATAGACATCGATCCTGACAGATAAGCGACGAGAATTTTGAGAGCGAGAAGTATCTATAATAGAAAAATAATTTCATAGCCATTGTCAAACACACAAGATGTATTCACCAGCGTGAAAATCAGATGAATGTAGAGAACCGTTGTCGATCTGACTTTCCACCAAGGAAGTTGGACTTCAGGTGATTCTCTGTAAAAAAAAGAGAAGATAATCTAATTTCACTAATCTCTGGCTGGAAACTGATTATATTAGATTCTCTCCATTCAATCGTCCGAAATAAAATCGGCCCCAGATCAATGTGATTTTACGATTACGAAAAATTATTTCATAGAATGTTTGGCATTTTCAATAAATAGATCATATCAGCTCAGAAAAGAGCTTTGATCCTGAGCGACAATCAATTGGGATACTAAACTAGAATATGTACTCTTTGCCTGCAAAGATCAATTCTCCCAACGATTTTCTTACATGTCAGACGGCTGATCCTCGCCTAGGAACGGTCGATTATTTGCTTGAAGGCTTTCAGAGAGCGTTTCTGATTGACCAAATAAAACAATTGAGACATTGCTATCATTTGATGGAATTCTTTTGAAAGACCGGTTCTCTGATGCTGTACAAAAGGAAGAAAGTATTGCATGAATGTATACACCATATTTCACTTACCCAGTTTTCGATCAATTGCCGACGTATCCTCACGTCCAATTTCATTAGCTTCATCGCCCAGTACACTTACTAAAACATAAGATGAATATTTATTTATTTATTTAGAAAATAAATTACAGATTTCTATTTACTATTATCGTTATTAAGGTCGTTGCCTGCCATCGTTGCACCACGTCAAGAACAAGACGACCTAGAAGAGATGCTGCTGTCGATAGACCAGTATACAAAAGGATAATAGCAAACAGGAACCTACTGAGAATATTTTTCTCTTGCGTTCTGATAAATATCTTGAGGGAACAATAGAAAAATACGAGGAAGATCTCTAATACAGTCATGCCGACACACGTGTGTGAATAGCGATCAAGCAGTTTTTCCATCTAATCAAATGGTCTTTATCACCAATCAGAAAAATAGAGTACTGCCACATGCTGTGACCTATACCGGAAAAATCTTTGTCGCGCCATCAGTATACAGATTTCCAAAAACAAAAGACGAGGATGTGTAAGATCGTTTTCCGGCCTCTTATGAAATTGGGTTAGGTGTCAGACGTCCGATATGCGATGTCATGGTTTTGGAGACCTGTCGCTCAGGAAATTTTTTTTCTCCCAATTCAGTCTGAGCACACCGATATATATCAATTCAAGTAAATCTCGAAGCTATACATGCGAATAACCTCCCCTTGTTTTCCAACAAAATTAGTTTACAATGTTGTGTCGAGTTTTACTCAAGCTAGAGCCCATGTCAGCCCGATACGCTAGCGACACACTTACCGTACATGTGGCGACATGTGTTGACACACTGCCCGAAGTCGACGTGTACGGCCTTCGTACGCGTGACGACACGTTTATCATGCTTCATACACGTGATGTCATATGTCGCCATGCGTACGCACCGTGTCGTGTGTGGCGCCATGTGTACGGCGTGTGACGACGTTGCTGTTTTGCGATTGGTTACATGTTTACAATGCAATCTGAGAGAGAGACAATGACAGATCGACAGTGAGTCATTTTTCTGCTCAATCTGACAAAGTGCAGAGTGATTCTTCATGTTTTCATGCTCCTTGGAAGCCTTACTTTTCTTCCACTTCCTCTGCCTCGCGCTCGGCTTTACACAGGGATGGTATTTTGAATCCATTTACTTCTACGCCAATGTAAAATATATCGATTTATGACCGAAACGAAAGTTCGAACGCAGATTGTCTGGTAGACTTTTCTCTCTCCTTGTTTCAGATATTAATCGTCGTCCATATACTGTGTCTAAAACATTCTGCCGACAATATATGACACATACAGAATGAAATTTTGCGCTCTTTCTTTTTTTTTCTTATCGTTACCAGATTATTCAAGTACATCATAAACATCACATACAACATTACTTCTAGTGGTGAAACGGCTGCAGAACGTGTAGTCATACACTATGACACGAGTCAACAACTTTTCTTTTTCTATTCTATAAGGTGTATCGTTTACTTGTATATATATGAAAATGACTCACCGTTTACTTTATGTATGTCGGTTCAAACGACTATTCTCGTTAAAGATTCATTTCTTTAACAATTATTTTCCTTTTCTGTTTCCTGCGGTTACTTTATTTTTTAAGCAACTGACATATCAATGCGTCATTTACAGTCATGATACATCGTTTGTCACACAGTTCACGTGTTATGGTTGTACCATCCTCCATGTGAGCTGAAAATTGCTCACTCTATTTAGTAGATTAGAAATAAATATCCGTGCACATTTATTTGCATTTAAAGACATCAAATTTGAGCTACACCAGTCACATATTCTCTCAATATTCTCTTGACAAAAAGTTGACAGATGGGACTCGCATGCCAAGGTTTTTGGCACCCTCTATCATTGAACAGTGAATTTTTCAAAAACGGAATGAGTTCTAATTCTTTTTCTTACGAATAATTTGAAAATAAATACTTAAGAAATAAACATAATAAGCACTTTGAAAATAAACACAATATTTAATATTATTTGAAAATAAAACAATATATCGATAAGCAAAATGAAAAGAACGATGCATGATAAGCAACAGCGAGTTTGGTGAATTTTCGTGTTTTTCAACTGTGTGAGATTTGAACAGAATTTGCCGGTGCTGGCCGGGGTGGAATATTTGAGAGTAAGTTACGAAGCAACAGTTCGCCAATGTTTTCGAAGCGTGTAGTTGAGGCTGAAATTCAAGTTCGAAAATAGAAAATATATTGTAAAAGTGAAACTCAAGGTGAAAATTCGGAAACAAAATTCGAATCTTTCGTAATAAAATATAGGTCGGATTGAATCTAAACAATTGTATCTGATAGCCTAATTTATACATAAAAGTCTTCATCCAAGTCAAGAGTTAATCGAAAAGATGATGATTTCACTCACGGAAGAATCTCAGATCGGTGAATTTCGATTGATGAGGCACCATTGAGAGTTGAAAACGTCAACCGTAAAATCGTTCCCGTTCAAACTTTTGCCAAATCAACGAGAATGGTTGCAGCAGTAATGACAACTAAAAATGATTTTTTTGGAAGTATGACCTCAATGACTCAATGAATTTGAGACTGTTAGGTTCCACCTAACTTGTTCAAATCGTCCCTTGTACAATTGGTTTATTAAGAAACAAAAAACCATTCCCTGTCGTACAGTATATGCCTGTGTAAGATGCACGTAAGGCAAAAATCGAACAGAATTTAGTTTTCCACATTTTACACACCATTCGATAGAGACACACAAAACGATAAAACGGGATCTAGTGTTATGTAAGAATATAAAAGCAGACAAAATACTTCTAAATTGCATCTGTATTGAACCGAATAGCGAATTTTTTCAATATTACTAAAACCTACTAAGTTTTTTGTTTGCCTCGAATGAGTCATACATAAACAAACAGCTGTGACAGGATCCAGGAATTCTCTCCCAGCAAGAATGAACTTAGATAGATGATTAATCAAGAAAGCGTCAGACATTTGTCTCTGTTAGGTCCCGAGACCTAAAACGGACAGAGATACTGCAGCGTCAGTGAAACACTGCGTGATTATATAAAACAACCATTTCCTTTCCAGGAAATGTATTTTATATAGTCACTATCTCATCAAGCCATCCTGTATATATTACATCATTGTTTAGAGTACATCATGTTTTTCTGTTACGTTGTTTCTTTTTTTTCTTCTTTCTCGCCTATATACATATACATAAGATGCACGTAAGGCAAAGATCGAGCAGAATTTAGTTTTCCATATGTTACACACCATTCGATAGAGAATCGCGCGCTGATCACGAATATGTGTTCCAGAATTCCGACTTTTTTCGATTCTGATTCAGAAAAAATGTACTTTCTCAGGAATGAAACAAATTTTTGAAAAAAGCGAGCCGTTGTTTTGAAGAGGAGCATCCGGCGAACCTAATTATGTAAAAATATTTACTCCGGGACTCTCCAGAAAGCACCTGCCGTTTTTGCTAAAATGAGACCTGTTTCTTAGTCGCTTCGCTTTTAACGTCTTTGGCGAATAGGCGTTTAGATATATAAAGGCTTTTATTCCATATTCTAGTTCACTTTTCAACGCTGAACAAGAATATCTGAGTTTGAACGTTCCAAATTGTAACCAAACTTAGAAAATTCAAATTTAAAACAGGTGTGAAAAACCGGGTTTTTGACCTCTTCATAGTATTTTACAATTTTCTCAGCGTTAATTACACAAACAGATTGGAGCAGGTGATAGTTTATGTACTTTTCTGTCTATTGAAACGCTAAACGGTACTACTGCATGTTGAATATTGATATTGTTCCCGTGAGCTCTGTTGATCATGATATCTAAGGGAAAGTAAAATAAGCGAACTTCTACTACCATGAGCTTACGTGGGCCGAGCAGGCTCACCAGCTCCACAAGAGCGATCACCAGTTGTAAAATCGTTTGGCTGTACTATACAAACAACAATCTGTCGTTCGTTAAAAACCACAACACTGAACTGAAATAGAAAGTATTCCATAATGTACGAAACGTTGCGACAAAATTCCATCTTACATCAGTGATCACATTATTAGTATTTAAAAGACTTATTGTAACGACCGGTGTTCTGTAGAGTAAAGTATAACCATCGAGATTACAGCTTGCAACTGTAACATTACCGTTTGAATTGTATGGGAATTGTAAAAGCACGTTTTGTTCATAGTCACACTTATACAGAGTTTTGTCCAGTGTTGTTGTAGCAGTAGTAGTAATTGTGGGAGTAGCTAGTTTAAGAACGACATGTTTATAGTAAAAATCGCTTCGGAGTTATTAACCACTATTGCTGATGTTAATTACTACTTGGATCATTGACGTTTTAGTTGATGAAGAGTGCGAAGTGTGGTTTTTCTTCAAAGCGTTATTTTGGATGAAAAACTTCAGTTATATTAAGTGACTGGTCGGCTGGCTACTCTCTTTGCTCTACTAGTAGTTGCTAAAGCAGACCTCCATCTCTGTTAATGTTTAGTATGTATATCGTCTAAAGCAATGATTAGTCAATGAAGGCCGAACAATCATGCGGTCAGAGCTTTTGATTACAGACGATGCCTGCAGTTTTAAGAAAAATCTGATTTTTTTTAAAAATTTGAAAGTTTTCAAAGCTGATCTTAGCTTTTAAAAACCGATGAGGTTATAAGACTTACCTGGTATGGTAGAAGTGGTCGCTGTGGTAAGAGGTGGAGGAGGAGCATCAAAGCAGTACTTTCCTAACGAAAACAGACATTACAAGATCAAAACTTTCTCATGTTGCATATTATTATAGCGCATTTCCCTGTATTGTGTGAGACAGTGAGATTTGATGACTTGTAAGTCAACAACTGTTTGTTTTCTGCCAGTTGCTGTATTTCATCCTCACCTCCTTGCACAGCAAACTGGATGTCATAACAAGCATACATGTTTCCCGATTGCATTTGTATTCTCACATCAAAATCACCCTAAGAAGAAAAAAATAGCACAAGGATACTAACTGAAATGGTTGTATTTCGTAACCCGATGTTTGAATATGCGATTTAGAAAATTTAAAAAGCTTTACTTACTCCGTTCTTGAATTCAATTACAAAGGTTTAGGATGATTACTGTATGTTTTTAAGAACAAACCTTATCTTTTTTGGTACAAACCATATGCTTTTTGTATTTTATTACATCAACTTACGCTAATTAA